TTTAATGCTTAAGAAGCGTTTAACAATTTGTTGTTGTTGGTGCTGCTTGTGTTGCTGCTAAGAGTCAAATTTTTTAGTTCAAAATTATAAAAAAAAATTTAAACTCAATAGCAAATATAATAAACAAAATAAACGAAACGAATAAATAAAATTAAAAATAGTGTTTCTCATATACTTCAATGAATTTTAATACATTTATTTTATTTTACGCTATATTGATATCATATAATTGAGTTTATTTTACTTTAAATTATTTTATTTCCTTTTATTTTTTTTAATTTAACATATTTCATTTAATTTTTTTTAATGTTTTACTTATTTTATTTTAACTTAACTTTTTTTCATTAATATTTTTTATTTGCTTTCAATTTAACATTATTTATTTTATTTTCTTTTTATTAAATTTTGTGTTTTTTATTTAATCTATCTTATTTTATTCTATCAAGTTTTAGTTATTTTTACTCCATTTTCTCTTCGATTAAGATTTAATGAATAAAATTTTCAATATTTAACATAATATTTTATTTATTTTCATTTCTTATTTTTTATTATTTATTTTCATTTATTATTTTTTTATTATTATAATTTATTTCATATTTTAAAATTTATTTTATATTTTATTTCTTACATTCTATATTTTATTTTTTATATTTTATGATTTATTTGATTTTTTATTTATTTTTATTTTTTTCATTTTATTTTGTTTTTTTCATTTTTTTTTTTGTTTTTTATTTTATATTATATTTCAGTTTATTTTGTTTTGTTTTATTTTATTTTTTTAAATATTTTTTTATTTTAATTAATTTTTTCATTTTAATTATTTTTAATTTCTTCTTTTTTTCAATTTTTTTCCAGTTAATTTTTTTTAATTTATTTCCTATTTTTTATATTTCGACATTTATATTTAATATTTTGTTTTATTTTATTTTTGTTTCATTTCATTTTTGTATTATTTTTTATTTGATATTATTTTGGTTGTATTTAATTTTTTGGTTTTATTTTGTATTTTATTTTATTTTATAATTTATTTCATAACTTATTATATATTTTGTACCTTACATTTACATTTTATATTCTATATTTTTTATTTGATTTTTTATTAATTTTAAGTTTTTTTTTCATTTTATTTTATTTTATATTATTTTATTTTGCTTTATTTTATTTTTTCAATTCTAATTTATTTTAATTTTTATTATTTTGTTTTATTAAATTTCATTTTTTTTTTAATTTTTAATTTAATTTATTTTAATTTTTCTTATTTTTCAATTTAATTCTTTATAATTTTTTTATTTTATTCTATTTATTTATTATTTATTTCCTATTTTATACATTTTATTTTATTTATTTGTTTTTTATAAGTTCTTTTATATTTTTTATTTTATTTACGTTATATTTTATTCAAGTTTTATTTTATTTTTTTTTCTATTTTTATTCTTTTTTTATTTTTGTTTTAAATTTTTTCATTTTTTATTTTATTTTATTTATTTGTTTTATGTTTTTTATTTTTTTTTTTTATATTTTTAATTTTATTTTATAATTTATTCAGTTTCAGTTCAGTTTTTATTTTAATTTATTTTTACATTTATTATTTTTTTTTATTTTTTTTTATTTTATTCTTTTTTTAATTTAAGTTATTTTTATTTTTTTTTTATTTTTATTTTTTTTTTATTTTAATTTATTTATTTTTTTTATGAATTAATATTTTATAACTAATTTTTTATTTTATTTTATTTATTTTCTACATTTTATATTTAAAATTTTATATTTTATTTTATTCTTTTCCATTTGATTCCCTTTCAATTTATTTTGTTGTGATTTCAAGTTTTTTCTTTTTTGCTATAATATATATATTTTTTTATTATTTTGTTATATTAGTTTAATTTTTTTTTTTAATTTAAATTTCATTTATTTTTTTTATTGTTCAATTTAATTGGCTTTAAATTAATAATTTTAATTTAATTTGGTTTATTATTTATAATAAATTTAGCAATCAAGAGACTTTTACATTAAATAAATTAATTTCAAATTAAATTTTGAATAAGTAAAATTATTTAGGTAACAGATAAATCAATATTTAAGCAACTAAAATATATTATAACTTATGAAGGGACTAAACTTTAATACATTAAAAGAAAATTAAATTTACTTAGTGAAAAAAAGCAGCTTGAAAAATAAGAACTGAACTAATTTAATGAAAAATACGAATACTATGCCCAACAACACAAATATCACCAACAAATGACTACCAACAACTTAATCAGTTATGTAAGTCCCAACACAGGGTAGAAAACAAACGAATTTAAAAAGAAGAAAACAGAAAACTAAAATTATGCCAATACAAATCAACATACATACATACTACTGTACATATTTACATCAAAGGCTCCCTTAGACGAGAGGAAGCAAAAACGCCGCATACTACTGGCGGCGCGTATGCGGAAAAAGTCCTACACGAACAAAAACCGGTTTTATTTTTCTGCATTTCGAGGAGAAATTACGCGTCAGCAAATAACTAGTTTTGGTTGGATTTTTTTTTTTTTGTTTTTTTTTGTTTGTTGTGTCACATGATACACAACAACAAAACGAGCTTTTCGATGGCAAGGCAGGAAAAATCGTGGAAAAAATAAAAAATCTGCTTGGAAACAAAGGCAAATACTTAAAACAATACAACATCGATGTGCAAAAAGACAAGAAATCCACACGACTGCGCATTGTTTTCAGTTCAGCGAGCGTTAAGCAAGATGACGCGTGAGCCTAAACCCAACCCAAACAGCCTACAGTAAATAAAGAAATAAGCTATAATTTGCCACTAACTACAGTTGGTATGTATGTATGTATGTATGTATATATGTCGCCGCCTTTTTATGTTCGATTTACGCATCTCAAGTTTACGTTTTCTTATTGTTGTTGTAATGGTAAGTATTTACAGCTGTGATTTCATTCTGTCATTCAATTATAACGCTTGCATTTAGTTTTATATATATATATATATATATTTTGTTTTTTTTTTTTATTTTACATATATTGTTACTTGTATTTTTTATTCTCCTCTCTCCTTACGCTTTTCTCGCTTTATTACATACATACTACTTGCATACTTATATACTTTTTTAACGTCTGCTTGTGTTTATTTTTGCATATTTTATTCATTTTTGTTTATTTTAATAAACTATTATTAGTGGTTAATAATAATTATAGTTATAATAATAATAATAATAATAATAATATTTAATAATAGTAATAACTAAAAACTATAAATATTCTTGTTTTATGCTTTAAATCATAGTTTAGGTTGTTGTTGTTTTATGTGGTTTTTGATTTTTGTTTTCAAATGTTCAATCATTCTATCATACGTATTTATTTTATAGCATAAAGCATATTATTAATTTGCTTATTTTCCGCTCATTTGCTTTCTATTTTATTATTTTAATTTATTTATATATAGGTATATGTATATATATATATATATATTTATTTATTTTCAAATAGCATACAATATTTTTCATACTTGATGTTCGTTTGCTTTATGCTTTACTCTCTGTTAATTGTTAATTATTAAAAATTAATAATAATAATAATAATAATAAAAACGTGTGTTGTGGTCTGCTCAGCACTTACTGAACAGTTCTCTACACTTCCACTGGCTATATCAGCCATACATATACATATACATATATTTATCATATCTAGAGCATTCGTTTTCTTTTCTTGCGCTACGCAAACGCTTTCACAAAATTCTATATTTCAACTTAAAAATTATTGTTATTTCTTACTTTAGCGTTGTATTTTTTTAACAAACAAATATGTTTTCTGTTTTTTGCTTTTGTTTATGTGTTTTATTATTATTTGTTTATTTTTTTTTTATCTTTTGCTTAGTTCAACGCTGCGCACTCATACTCTCATCTCTTTTTCCTAAATTTACATATATTATATCTCATCATTACAATATTATGCTTATGTAGACCTTTTTAATATATTTTTATGGTTTTATATATAATGTATGTGTGTGATTGAATGCTAAAAAATAGAAATAATCCTAAGTTTGCGTGCGCGATTACGTGTTCATTTCACTAATTGTTGTTGTTTCTGTGTTTATTGTTTCCGTTTTTTTTATCTTTTTCACTGCTGTTGCTTTGCTTTTGCTGCTGCTGACACGTTCTGAAATGTTTATGTTAATTTGCTTGTTTTTATGTTTAAGTCAATTCTTCTGCTTCTCTCTAATACTCTCCCTCTCTCTCTCTCTCTCTCTAACAATATAGTACAATTTTTGTTTGGAACCTCATGCATTCCACAGCTTCTTAACCCCTAGACATTAGCGCAAAATTCTATTTTTTCGTTTTATATATATATATATATATATATATATATATATACTTGAATTTCTTCTTTTTTATCATTTGATTACCTCGTTTCGTAAGCTTTTTAAATTGTTACTTTAAACTTGCAGCGCATTCACTTTTCTTTTTTTTTTTTGTTGTCAGCATGGGTTTGTGCTTAAAGCGATTGTGTATTTTAGTTATGTAACTAAACCGAAATCAAAGGGATTCTAATAATTCTTCGATATATCGAAAATTGTCAACATGAATTTTTCTTTTTCGTTTAAATTAACCAACGCGAATTGTTACATAAGCAAACATACAAATCGATAGCGAGCCGCTGTCCACACCGTGTGAAATGGCATTTGCAAATGAAACGAAATGAAACGAAAACAAATAAATTTCCGTAATTACAGTTATTAAAATTATTTTACATTTTGCAACTTATTTAGTAATAAAACAAGAAAAATATGAATGAAACTTAATAAGCTAATTTAAAACAAAAAAATGCGTACCGATTGGCATTTCAAAGGCATTTCAAGGCTTTTAATATGTGGGGGGTTTGTGTGTCATCTATGGAATAGCACAACAAAATGAAAATTTATCGGATATAAATAAACATGCGTTTTTTGTTTCTCTTTTAGTAATTGAATGCAATTAATTGATGTATTTTGCTATTTTCTACTTGGGCGGCTTTAAACCAATGTAATGCTTCTAACTCAAATGTAAAAATTACGGTAATCGTTTTATCAAAAAAAAAAAAAAAAATTTTTTTGCAGCCCTAAAATATGTGTGCTTATGACTGCTGAAAGAGCATAATTTGAACTTATTTTCCATGCATATGCTATTTTAACACCGTTAGTTTTACATCATTAATGCTTTGCAGCAAACCGCATTTGACAAAATTCAATTACATTATCACATTTTTAACGATTTTTTTCCTTTCTTTCTTCTCTCAATTAAATAACATTACGCTTTTCATATTTTTCACCAAAGTTTTGTAGTCTAATAATATATATGTACAAATTTTTGTGTTCTATTGCTGTACAACTTTTTTTTCCAAGCATTTTACTTATTGACAACAGCACACACCGGCAGCTAGTCAACAGCAGTTGTCGCGTAGTATTTGCGCCACCAAACAGCATCATTTTATTTATATGTTTGTTTGTTTGTTTGTTTATTTTTTTGGTCGCTTGTTTTTCTCTACAAGTCTTGTTTGCGGCAGTGTTGATACTGCTGGTGTAGTCTACTGGGCGATGCCGATGTACGTTGACGATTATTTGTGCTATTCAAATTGCCATACCGACCAACAATCAACGCTCTATCTTTGCCAGCAACAACAGTTTGACGCTTTCGTTTCATACGCAACGGTGGTTGTATGTTATGTTGTGTGCTTTTGTAATGTTCAGCAGCATTTGTTGATGGATGGAGGATTAGGTCTGACGGTGCTGCCGTTGCGGCAACAGCTGATGATGTTTCATTCTTTCTGCGCGTATACAGGCAATTTTGTGTGCTCTCCAACACTGCTGTGTCCACGGACTCGATCAAATCGCTGGACGAAGCCACAACTTTTTTGCTATTACTTTGATTATAATTACTATTGTTGTAATTGTAGTGTTGTTGATGATGATTCTGATTTTGATGATGGTTATTGTTATTATTATTGTTATTGTTATTAGTATTGTTGTTGTTGTTGCTATTGTAAGTAAAATGGTATTTACGACTTCTGCTGCTGCTGCTGCTGCTACAGTAATTATTGCTGCTATTCATCATATTGTTTTTGTTTTTGTTTTTCTTGCTTGCATGAAGATTGTTATTATTATTATTGTTATTGTTGTTGTTGTTGTTATTATTATTATTACTATTATTCGCGATCAGCATCAGCAATTAGGAATTTGAGTTTCGCTTCGTCTGGAGCTAGGATGAGCTCGACTGATTCAGATTACCAAACATACCCGCCGAAAACGACGTCTGTCCAGCTGAATTCGCTTGCGATGTGGTCGATTGTTGCTGCTGCTGCTGTTGTTGCTGTTGCTGCTGCTGTTGTTGTTGCTGCTGCTGTTGCGTTAATTGCGATTGACCACGTCCATGCTTCGGTATGGGCGGCTGTATATATTCATGTCGCGCCAATGCAAACACATCCATGCGATCCTCCTTGCGATAAGCTAAGCAACCGCGTATGAAACTCTATAGAATGCGATTATATGTGTGTGGTAGGGAAAATAATATAACATTAATAAAATTTGTTCGCAAAAAAAAAAAAAAAAAAAGAATAAATAAATACAAATTCAATTATCTTAAACTTACCTTTGCTTCATTGGATACCGTTGGCTTGTTAGAGAATTGCACCTCTGTAGCTTTGAGAATTGTATTCTCTTCAAGGATGGTGGCCTGCGATTGATTGTGTCCAAATGGTTTTTTGCCATAGAGACATTGGTAGAAAATAACACCAACACTCCAAACGTCAACTTTCGATGAAATTTTCGGCGGATTTTTACCAACAACAAAGCACTCAGGCGGTAAATACCTGCGGATGGCATGAAATCGACAATAATATCGGATATTGAGTAACATTGTAATATAAGAAGAAAAAGGAATAATAAAAAAAAAAAAAAATTGAAAAATAAATTTATTTTGTTGTGGGAAAGGTATTTTTAAAAACATATTTGCCATTTCAATCATTACATACATATATACATATGCAATATGCATCACTTATAAGTTTCAACTATCGCAAGTAAACTGCATGCAGCTGTTTTAAGCACAAATTTAGTTAAATACTCCCTGCCGAAATTGTCTAAGACTATCAAAATCACACATCACTAGCTACTGCGTGCTTCTACTGTCCCAGACATACTCACCAATAGGTTCCCGCGCCTTGTGATGTCAAGTCCATGCCATGATCTGGATTATAATTCTCATCATCCATCACTTTAGACAAACCAAAATCGGTGATCTTAATCTCACCACACACATTGCCCTCTGTCAGTAGTATGTTGCCAGGTTTCAGGTCATAGTGTATAACTGGTGGTTTAATCTCATTCAGATATTTTAGTGCGGAAACGACCTGAAATTAAAAAAGGATTTATAATCATTCCTCATTCTTTTGGCTGCTTATCACAACAACTAATAACTCTACTCACCTGCATAATAATCGATCGTGCCTCACGTTCGGGTATAGTTTTATGCTGCTTTAGATAAAAATCTAAATCATGGCCATCACAATATTCGAGTACTGTGCAAAATGAATTGGCGTCGATCTCGAACACATCGTACAGTTTGACCACCCGTGGATGATCTAATGCCTTGTGTATATTATATTCACGCAATGCGTGTCTGCAAATATTGAAATTCAATTAGTAATAGATCCTGGAAATGGTTTAGCATAAAATTGTATATATATTTAAGCGTATACGCACTTGATATAGTTGGCCTTTTTGTCTTCCTTCCAGTCCTTGTTTAATTGATGCACTTTACACGCTACATATCGTTGCTCCTTCAGATCGAATGCTTTGTGCACTTCGGAAAAGCCGCCTTTACCCAGCAGCATGAGCAGTAAATACCGATTATTTAGCACTGGATGATTGTTAAAGCGAGACTATAAAATAAGGACAAAATATAAAGATTTAATTTTTATTATTGAAATAAAAGTAAATAAAAGTGTTTGCTACTTTTGCTCATTACGAGCTTTATATGAAATTTGATTGAATAGTTTTAAATTCATGGCGTCTGTCCTACCTGATCCTCATTCAGTATCCGTTTAAGCTCGCGTATATGTAGATTACGTTCACGCTCTAACTTCTCCATCTCTAGCTGTAAGTCAGCATCCTCTTTCTTGAGCGCATTTTGCCGCAGCTTCAATATCTCATCGTACTCATAGTACTCTTGCGCTGTGTACGCCCCAGAGACAGGGTCGGGTTTAAGGAACGTTGCATCGCCACCACCGCTATTATCGCCGCGACCAGTACCACTGTTGCCACCACCACCCCTATCCGAGAGACGATCACCTACACCACTGCTTCCACCGACACCGCTACCACCACCATTGTGCAACAGTTGCGTTTGTCCGGCTTGTGTGGAATTGGAACGAGAGAGACCGCGGCCACTGCCACCACCAGCGCCGCCACCACCACCAGTCGATCCGATACCACTATCACTACCGCCCGTCAAACGATCACAACCAGCTATGTTGGTCGAATCATTTGAATTCGAATTCTGTTGCTGGCTATTGTTGCTATTGGTGTTGCGTTTTCGTCCTGATTCCGCGGGCCGTTTTTTCATCAGCTGCTTCTTTTGACGATCGATTTCTTCACGTTCGGCTGTTATCTCCTCTTGTCGTCGGGTTAGCTCATGGAAAGCATAGCCGTCAGTCCAATTTTCCTGGAATGTGGCGCCAACGCGCTGCGTCACAAATTGACCCAAACGCAGACGATTTTGCATGCACTTTTGTCGCGCTTCCTTCTTTTCGATGCTGCTCTTCTCTTTCAGCAATTTCTTTACCACGTCAATGCACTTGGCTATCTGCGATTTATGTTGGTCGATCAACTTTTGATGAGCGATTATCTGGCATTTCTGCTCATCGGACAGTCTTGTCATCTCATCGAGCTTTGACTTGCTCGTTTCGATCTCCGAGTCACGCTCTTTGATCTCTAGAAAAGAAAGGTCTGTTTGCGTGCCCTTTGTTATGGTGCTGGCTGGTACCGGTGGTAATGGCGGTTGCATACCACCCATTGCACCCGGTATTATACCAGCATGCTGCAGTGTATTCAGCTGTACGGCTGCCAACTGTTGCGAGGTTACACCACTGGTAAGTGTCTGTTGCGCCGATGTAGCTACAGATGTTGAGGGAATATGTTGCTGCGGCGCCTGACCCATAGGTGGTGGTGGTGGTCCGCCGACAACGCCTGCAGGAAGGACACCCATACTGTTAGCCAACACGCCGACAATTGCCGACTGAGGAGGAACCATTGCATTGGAAGTTTGTGGTGTTTGTTGTCGCTGCTGTTTTGTAGCATTGTTCACTGCCACACTGCTATGGTAATGGAATTCGGGTGGTGCCTGCGATGTGGGAGTTTGTACACCAGCCGAATTCAACTGTTGGGGACTAGGTGGATACATTCCATAAGCACCCGTACTACCGCCACCACCAGCATTGCCTGTATTCTGCACTTGTTGTTGTGCCGTTTGTTGTTGGCTGCCACCAGCGGCTGAAGGACTCTTTGAACCGCCCGTGTGCTGACGCATTGGACTATTTGTGGCACCGCTTGTCGTTACACTGTGTTTATTAAAATATTCATTTATTTTTTTGCTATCCATGCCATGTTGCAAAAGTCTTGCATTCTTGCCACCCACGTTGCAGCGATCTGCTGTTGTACCTATATTCAATGATAAATTTGCTTTGTTTAGTGTCTGTCCGGAGCCGATCATGTTAGAATTTTTGGTTGCCTTGTTGGCGCCCATAATTGTCGCATTTCCAGAATTATTACCTCCATTTCCGCCACTGCCAGCTCCACTACCAGCACCACCGCCACCGCCACTATCTTCTGTGTGTGGAAATTTTCGTTTGCGTTTTCGCTCAGATGGTGTACGTGGTGGCTTTTCAAGACGTCCAACCATATTACTATGCTGCACTTGTTGTTGCTGTTGATTGCTGCTAACGCCTGCGCCACCGCCCATCATACCAGCTACGTCTTGACCAAGACCGCCGCTACTCATCATAGCCCCTGGGGCACCGTTATTGGACAGTATACCTATCTGACTGGGAATGCCTGCTGCACCTAACATATCGGCAACATCTTTTTCGCTATGTGATGATCCTGTGCTCATATTCGAATCGGGATTACTGCTATGACCACCGCTATGCGTATGCTGCAGCGCAGCTGATTGCTGCTGTTGCTGCAACGGAGGTGCTAATGTCGAAAGCGGTTGTGGTAACAACTGTTGCTGATGGGGCAATTGCTGATGTGTATGAGTTTGGGGAAGCTGTGACTGTTGCTGCTGCTGTTGAGGATGTAGATGATGATGATTCGTTATTGTATGCAGAGATTGTGTTTGTTGCTGTTGCTGTTGTTGTGGTTGTGGTTGTGGTTGCTGTTGTGCCGTATAATGGCCAATATGCGGCTGCTGTTGCAAATGTTGTAACTGCTGCTGTGCCTGCGTAATTTGTTGCTGTTGTTGTGTTAATATTTGTTGCTGCTGTTGTGGATTATGATGGGCTGTGCCAAAATGATGCTGCTGCTGAGTTGGATGATGATGGCTTATCGACGTAGTGGTCTGTGGTGCCATCTGCAATTGAGCGCCGGCAGACATCTGTAATTAAATTAAATACATATATAAAAAACATAGTACAATTTATATAACAGTAAAAAAAATAAAAAAAATAAAAAAAAAGCTTTACACAATTGTATATGTAAACTAATAACGTGAAAAAATAGATGTGGGTTGTAAATAGTAAAAGCGATTTGATAAGGATGAAAAAGTAAACATTTTTTTAACGCTTTTTCTAAACACTCACAATTTGCAAACAATGCTGAAGTAATAACCATATTTGCAGACACCATCATATATTAACGAAGTATTTAAATATTCATATACGATATTCGTTCTAACATCTAAATCTATCGATTTGATTTTTTGATTTACGTACGTATAATAAAACAATGTCTTTTTGTCCATAAATCCACAAAATATTTATTGGTCGAACTAAAATTCAGTATATAAATCGATAGCTGTGCTTTAATTATCGATTACCACTAACCGGCCGATCAACTTGCAGCTGGCAATTTGATAATTCTGCACATATGGGCAGATATAAAATATATATACATGTATACGCTTATGACGACAGCGACGTTCACGCAATAACGAGTGAAACGAAAAAAATCAACGAATTAACGAACCACAAAAACGAACGAATTTGTAATATAGCGAACGGCTCAACGAACGAGTGTGCGAGTAAGCGAATGTGAAAAAATAGTAAAAATGTCAAAGCGAGGCAGAAACAAAAATGGCTACCGTCGGCAAATACTCGTCAAATTGTCACTCAGCCAGCTAGCTAAATAATCAACTGCTCCGCCACACTTTTTCCCAATCAACTAGATTTTTTTGTATCGAAATACGCAACTACTACGCCAAACTACTTTCAACTAATAAATTTTCATTTATCAAAACTAATTCAAAATATTTATTTCAACAAACGAACAACACTTATTCTCAACTTCTGTGTGGATTTGTATTCTTGTCACCTTTTTTAAATGCCGCATTTTCGTCGTTGCTCTCTTTGCGTTACGTTTTAAGTTTTCTTTCACGAATTTGTGGTTTTTGTGATTTTCACCACGCTTTGTAATGCATATAGCAAAATTTGTAAAAATGAAAGAAAAAAAAAACGGGTGCAAAATAAGTCACATTAATTTCATTTTTACACAAAGTAAATGTCTGAATGAATTGTCTTTTACATTTTTGTACTTTTTTGCTGATTATTTAGCACTTCAGCACGAATCAATCGCACCGTGTAAAATAATTTTCAGACCACAAAAACTTCCTTCTCTGACTTTGAGCGAAAAAAAATTCTTTGCCTCTGATACGTTTTTCTTCACGTCTCGTTTCGTCTCTTCGACTTAACGAGTTCAGTCAAGTCGCTAACAAAACGCAACGAGTCGCCTGTCAGTCACTCGATTATTTCTCGTTTTTCACTTCGTCATCGTTGTTGCTGGCCCATCGTAGACGTAGCCGCCGACGTTGTCTTATTAGCCGTTGCTTTTTGTTGGTGCTGCTGCGCCCTCTGCCACTGCCGCTGCTTAGTATCATCGTCGTCGGCAGCCATTGTAGAAAAAAGGTGAAATAAATTATTTTCTACACATTTCACACACCTCTTTAACAAAAAAAAAAAAAAAACTTTAAATAATTAATTTTAAACTTGAAAATATCTTCATTTTCCGAGTTTTAAATGGACTAAACGAATTTCTGTTAAATTTTTTTTTACATACACATTCAATAATAATTATATTTATTTAATATTGTCACTTTTATTGCAAATTTCTTCAATTTACACTCAACGACGTTTTTCATTCACTCCGCACACAAATGACCGATCCAATAATGATAGTGTGTAAAAGGAAGGAAGAAAAATTTCATGCATGCCGTGAGCTGAGCGCTCACCAAATTGTCAATGTGTATGTATATGAGAAAATATGCGACAGAAAAGGTGTTGCCTTCTTAATTGTTGTGCATTCTACCCTCTGAAGATTTACACGTTAGTATATATTTTTAATCTAGATCTAAAAACGTCAATTCCCTTTTTTTCTACAAAATTTGAAAGCAACAACATGTCTGCCAATTCAGTTTCGAAAATGCATTATTTAGAATAAAATTTATTTAATCACAACACTTGAAAATAGTTGAAGGGGAATTATTTATCCCTTTTGTAAAAAAATGAGTGATTATTTTTCATTTTAGTTTTGCTCTCAATACGCTCTCGCTAGAATGAGATGAATCTATGGCAATGAAAAAACTCAAATACAAAGTTTACATACAAACATTGCGCATGTTTCTTGTAGCGCTACTTAAAAACTTACGAATTTTTAATTTGGGAAGATGGGATAATATTGACTGCGATTATACTGTCATATGAAATACATACACACATATATACAATGTAGTGGCAGGGATGACAGGTAGTGGTTTGTGGAAGTAATAAGTACGTAAGTAGCAGTTGGGCACAGAAAATACAAGAAATAAATAAATAGTTTTGTATGCACTGATGAGAGACATGTAATGTCTCTCTTTCTCTCTTGTTAGTTCACTCGTGCTCAAGAGTTCCGCTATTTGCTTTGTTTGCAAATAATTGCGAACACAATTCATCTCAATATTGCCAACTCACAGCACAACATTGCAAATGGGAACTGGGGATGGGTAATGTGATTGTAGGCAAGTCAAATTTCAAAGGTGTTTCTTTCTTTACTTAATTCGCATGGGTTTAGCTAAAGTGGGCAACTCTAGTTTAATAAGCGCAGCGCGACAGATGGTTGATACCTCCGATGAGTAATTAGTTTAGGTGGATGGATGATTCTGTCGGGTGAATGGATAGGCGAATGTGTGTGTGTGTGTGTATGTGTCTGCGTATCTACATACATATATATGTGATTAATTTATTAGATGCAAATTTGGGAAAATATTTGGTTCGCAATTAATCAAATGGACGGTATTTGTAGATACATTTGTATGTACGTATGTATAATACATATGTATTTGTTGAATCTCTAATTTTTTTACCGCAACAAGTGCTAAGTAAAATAAAATAAATATTAATTTGTATTTTGTAGTAAATTTTGATAATTTAGTGTAATAAAAGCATTTAAATATGTATGAATATATCGTAAATTTATAAACACTCATTTTTTACCTAATGATATACACATATACCCATATACATATGTATGTAAATATGTATAGCATATAAAAATGCTTGTGAGCATATCTGCATATTAACATACAAACATACATACGTATTTACATATGCAAGTATGTGCATGCAGTGCTGTTTGAAGAAATGCATTCATTTTATACCTCCCTGTCAGAAGTGCACTGCATTGCCAACCAAATCAGTGCAAAAACTAATCGGCTCAATCCGATGCTTACAACAATACCATCACATGCGACACGAAAAAGCACCGCTGATAACAACAATTACCACCATCGCTATCGCCAGCTTGCAGCAAATATCATACAAATCCAACACTTATATACATACATACATACATACATACATATGCACATATGCACATGTATGCAGGCTTGTAGAAGACGTAGCCTTTTTGCCATGCCAGATGTGCAGAGCAAAACATCTGTCAATATCACAGTGATATAATCCGGAACAGAACGGCAACACCACAGGCTCAATAACAAAGTAAACAAACACAAAACACAGTCAAGTAGTGCAGCAGCATGACGGCAACAAAATCAAAAGCAAAAACAAAAAAAAAATAAAATAAACCAAACGTACACTAATATGTTCAGAATGTATACATATGAGTGTACATAAGGAAAACAAATTTAGTATTCAGCTGAGGAAAGGCAAACAGCAGCAACCTGGGCGTTCAACGACTGACGTTTACATACATACAACGAAAAAGAAAGTCACAGAAGTTGCCAGATAGAAAAATACACCTCAACTTGAAATTGCAACAACCAACACCAAATTCTGTAGCTACATGAATTGCTACAGAGAAAATCTATGCGCAATCATATACATAAGCAAACAAAAAAAAAACCAGAAAAATGCACCGTATTCAACAATCCATAATACCACCAAAATGTCTGGCAACACGAGCGTACGTCAAGTTGGTATCAGATCGCAATGGCTTCTCAAATTATAACACAACAGTTTAACCAACGATGACTAGATACGAAACTCTTTATTCCGTGAGAGCGCTCAAAAATCCGCATTTTTTATAACATTTCTGAACAGTGCCACTGTGATGGAAAAACGACTTATTTGGATTTTTAGGTATATTTTGGGTATTTTATTACAAACAACGACGTCTTTAATTGCAATTTCACTGAAAAATTTCATTGAGAAACAATTCAGTATTTAATTATATTAAGTTTTAGTAATAAAATTACAATAATTTCTTTAATATTTACTGCTGAAGCAAATTTCTTTTGAAACAAAAACAATGGATTTTTTTATTGGCATAGTGGCACTGGTGCTTTTTGCACATCAGATGTTGAATGTTCCCCGATCTGACACTGCTGCCAACATTAGAATGTGAGATGGGGGAACGCTCTCAGCTGCGATTTGAGTAAGTTTCGTATCTAGTCATCTTTGGTTTAACAGTTCATGCCGATGAGTCAAGGTCGAGAGACGTCACGTCACGCAAATTTTCATTTTCATTCCCCCATACAAAACAAATTAATACATACGAACATACATATGTATATTCACCGAAGTTTACAGAGAGCTGCCGTAAAGCGCTCTTTCTCTCTCATATAAATTCCAAAAGGGGCATTCAAACATTTACATTTATTTTTAGCACTAACAAACGGTTATACACACACACACACGTTTGTGTGTATGTTAATATGTGCACACGCATACAAGTTTTAGTGTGAAGTGGTGAATAATTATAATAATAATAATAATAAAATAATGTGGAGAAATACTAACAGTTGGTATGAGCACCGCTCTGTTATTTTCAAATTGTCTGCTTGGTGTTTTTTTTTTTGCTCAACAGACATTTCGGTATTTAGGACTTAGTTCTTTTATTATCATTACTTTTTCTCTTAATTTGTTTGTATATTTATACAACATTTATTAATATTCGTTTTACGGCAGTTGGAAGTAAAAATTATATGGATTTTTTGAGCTCGTAGGCGCTGAATGTATGTATGTATGTGGGTGTATTTCACGAGTAAAACTTAATGCGGTGAACACAAATTAATATCTCCAATAATAGTGTAGCAGAATTAAATTTTTCAAAAGTAATTGCATTTCAATTATTGCAGACATTCTACTAGCAGCTTAACTTCCAAAAAAAATGTGTATTTAATTATACATTTTTTAAAAATTTTAGGATAAGAATTTCAAAAATTTGCTTACAATGTCAAACACTTAAAAATGTATTTTGGCAAACCAACCTTCGTAAGGGACCAATTGAAATATAATGTAATCAAATTAACGCAATTATTCGCATTAATAACAGCTTAGATGCACATACAAATTTTTTTTTTTTGTAATTATGTAGGTACGTGATCCGACAGAAACACCCACATTAACACCTCGCAATTATTAGAAAAAAAAATATAGTTAGTGATCACAAGCCGAAACGAAAGTGGCAAAAGCACTCATACAGCATGAGAAACACGACCCACAACCACAATCTGACTTTAACGATTTAATCCAATTTTTCAAATTAACTGTCTGTGGCATTCGCATTGCTCTACATTTCATCAAATAAATACATATGTATGTACTACAGTTGCGTATGTATCCATTATTTTCATACAAAACAGCAATATAAAATGTAAAAACAAAACAAAACAAAACAAAACAAAAAAAAAACGTTTTAAAAGTCGCTCAAAGAAACTTAAATGAAAAGTGAACCGGAATAAACACGAGCACGTGCAGTTCGCATTGATTCAAACAAGAGTACTCTCTCGCCGCATTGCTCTTGCTCTCTGAAAGCATGAAATATAGAAAATGAAACACGAATTATGAAAACTAACGAACGAACGAGCTGTCATCAAACATGTATGCGGTTGCTTGCACATTTAACCACTTCACAAATGCACGGCGCACAAAAACCTCAATCAAATAAAAATAGAACAAATTTAACCCCTTTTTTCTCTCAAACGGAAGTCACAAATTGAACTCACTCTCTCCACAGCTGTTGTCTTTCCTGTTGTTGTCGCTGTTGTTAACAGCTTACGATTACGTTTTGTTACAGGCGCCGTATTCAACACTGTTGCTGCTGGTGTTGTCGTTGTTGCTGTTGTCGCATGTCCAATTATTTGCTGAGTACACATATTACTGCTCATGCAGCGCCGTTTACCGCGCGCCGTCGTTGTCGGTGACTTTACACTCGTTATCAAATTCGAATTTGAACGATGCCGATGCAGCTGCTGCTCGGCCGCTGCTGCCGCCACTACGACCATTTCGGTCAACATTGGTTGCACTGTGGCTGCTGCACTAGTGTTTGTAATATATGTATATGTGCCAGCGCCACTGCTACTGCTGCTACCGCCGCCGCTGCCGCCAACAAGTCCAGCGCCTATACCGCTACCAAAGCCCGAAGCAGCGGGCAACATATGTGCACAATTAGACGACATACACACGTCACAATAAAAATACACACGTGCACCAATTCCCTTTTACACACTCACTTACACAAACAAAAATAATAAGATTTGGCTTTACAGCTGCTGCTATACGATTGACACTGACTGCCTGCTATTTCAGTCAGTTTGTATGCGAGGCAAAGAGAAATCAAAATCAGCTGATCGTTATAAACACAACAAACGAACGACCGGCACAAAACAGCTGCTCGTGTTTAGTTTGGCGTAGTCGTTGCCGTCGCCGACAGCGTCACTAGCGCAAGCATTATTACCATCGCCGAAACACCAACAACACAATCGGTAACACAATTTTTATTTATATTGTAAACAAACGAGTGCACAATCACTCGGCTTGTGAGAGTTTCACAGACCGTAAGAGAGTTGTTGGTTGATTAAATTTTATTTTAGTTTCTTTACTTTTAGACGATTATTGTACTATATATGTATGTAGCGCGGAATTAAATAAAAATTGACAGCACGTTTGTTTTTCTAGTTTACTTTGTTTCGCTTTGATTTTCTGTTTCATAGATTAATACTTGAAAGAAGTTTCGTTTGCGTGCAGTAAAATTGTTATTGATTTCTTTGGGCATACGAAGATGACTGAGACCAGCAGCCGACCGTAATCATTGCCTCTGGTATGATGGTATTTCTTGATTTCTTTGTTTCTGATTTTGCTCACTTAAAACACACACATACATACATTACACTACACTCGCAATATTTTCATTTCTCATTCTATTCCAACGTTCGATTTTCTATTATTCCTCAATGGAGCAAAAAGCATGAAAGCCAGTCGGAAGTAACGACAAGATGCTGCTGCTAAGTACTGCGTTCAATCTTCATTGATATATACGTACATACGTACACACATATGTAAATATGCTTGAATATTTAATGTTGCGCAAGAGAGCAAGTAACATTAAAGTTAAATTACAGAATTCCGAACGCCGGCATTTTTCGTCTCGTTAAATTTACTGTTGTTGTATGTGATTTCGCTTACTATCACTCGAACTTGCCGGAATGTTTCGCATACATATCTACGTGCATACATCTGTTCACGCTTAAAGGCCTATGCTGCTATTGATAGTCAGCATGTTGTCTCACCTTTTTTTCTATTAAAAGTATTAAATTATTGCGCTAGCCTGTTAATAATACGATACACAAAATTTGTTTGCTCTCTCTTTCTTTGCTAGCGCCGTTTCTATGAAGCTGTTGTCACAGCTGTTAGCTACAACAATACTTTTATGGGTGAGGACCAGTTCTCCACATTCCTCTCTTGCACGCATACACACAAAAAGTTCAGAAGTATTTTTTCAGTTTTCTTTGCACTTGCACAAGTATTTATTCACGATTTTGTTTTTTTATATGTTTGTTTGTTTGTTTGGCTATGTACGTTATAATTTGTATGCTCCTCTTTCACTTTATCTTCACTGCCTTTGCACTTATTATTGTTATATTTATCACTTGTTTTTCTTAATTATATACTTTTGTTTCTTTACACTTTTCTATGTGTTTGCTTCCTTTTTGCAAAATTTTTTACCCGTCGATCAAATGATTACACACGTCACGATGAACGCTCTGCGCGACCAGCACTGACAGTTGCGAACGCAGCGAAGATACTCGGATACCATTGCTGTTGCTTTGCTTTTCAATTGGTTACGCGTCGTCGCAACGTTTCTCGTTTCGTTTCGTCTCGTCGTACAACGCGCCCCAACGTCTTGCACTTGGTAACTGCAGTACCCGTACCCTTCGCTTTGGCTGTGTACATACAGTTTAATTGTAAAATATATATTTACATAAATTTATCTGGTTGTGTATGTAGAGAAAAACATATGTTTGTACCGAAAGTTCGACCGTCTCACGGGCTGTTCAAACGACCAACCGACCAACCGACCGATCGACAGACAAGCGAACGGACAGATATATTTTATTCGTTGTCGACGAGGCGAACCAAGGTGAAATTAGCAAAATATACTCGACTCGCACAAAGCACATACTATATACTACATGCGAATGAGCGAAGCGAAAATAATCAACTAACCGACTGAACTTAAAATTGTTGTTTTCCTTTGGGTTAGGTTAGAGAACACGTTGTCGTAATGACACAAGCGCTGCCGACGACATCGACGTCGTTGCTGCAGCTGCTTAGCTCTGCAGTCTAAGTTTACCATCGTTTGAGGTAGATATTTATTTATGTATGTATGTACATTTTGTATGTATGTTTTGTTCTTATTTTTTTGTCAATTTTCTAGATACATACGTATATATGTATATATATGTATATGTATATATATGTATATGTATATGTATGTTTATACATTTGTATTTATTGTGTAGATTTCAATATTACTTTAACTGGATGTTGTTTGCTGTTTGAGCAGCCAGCCATGTTGTGTCGCGACGATTTTTCTTCGTTCAACGCATTGGAGTGAATTTCGTGCCTACAACTTTAAAATTTTCTTTGCCACGTTGATGTTAAGTTTATGACTTTAAAAGATTTTCTACGTATAAAAAATACCCGCATTGATGACTTCTGTATATGTAAATGGTGTGACACCAACTATGGATGTTTAAGTATATAAATTCTAGCAATCATACTCGGCGTTAATGAGAATTTCAGGTGAACAAATTCGAGCGTACATTTTTAACGTAAAATAAAAACAAATTTCCATATATTGTTTTTGTTCTCTATCAAAATATCCACACGAATTTTTTCACATGAAATTTCTAATAAAACACCAACTATGCATATCTGCACGTATTACATAGATATGTATGTAGTAGGTTCATATGAATGCATGTATGTATGTATGGATGTACGAAGGTACAATAAACATTTAGTTTGTGAAAATTGTCGTTTGCTTTAGCAGTTGCTAAATTCTTCAATTAATATCATTTGGTTGACGTTGACAGTTATTTTTTAATTTTAACCGATAACCCGAAAATATCGATAAGCAACAACATTTCATTTATTAATAATAACAATCACATAATTTATACAAATTCTTTTATTAAAAACTGTAAAGTGGACTGAATATATACATATATACGTATGTATATTTTTATGCATATACATACATATGTATGCATATAAAACAGTTTACACGTAAAAAGGAAATTGATGAAAATAGAGAAATTATTTTGGCATTGCTTCAAGCATAACTTTTGTTCACAAATGAACATAAATACATATATACATACATGCACACATACATACATACATATGTATACACAATTATATATTTTACGCTGTTCATTTTCGCACTAGTTACAACATATCGATTTCAATCGTAGATACAATGGCGGCCACACAGTCCATCCTACATACATACATACATAAATACAAATAGTGAACCACGTCTATGACTCTCGTGGAAATGTTGCACAAAGAAACGTTCACTAGCATTACATACATACATACATACATTCATATGTATGTATTTTGCTTAATTCGCTAATTTTCAGTCGCGAATTTTGACTTTTCGACTTGTTTTTCTCGAGGGTTAACCTCAAACTCTATAGCGCAAAAATAAAATGCTTGCAGGCGAACTGAAACGAGTGAGCACCTACTTAGGTGTATTTGTATGTACATATGTTTGTTTGTATGCACCCTACCGATCGACTAATCGTTGGTTGGAAGGTATGTATGTAGGCACCAATAACTATGGTTTAGTGTGTATGTTTTTATGAACATACATACATATATATATATACATATGCACATAAGTTTGTACGTACATAAATTTGTACATATGTATGCTGCAGTCAATTTTTTTATTATTATTTTTGATTACCATACAAAAACAAATACGGGTACATACATATGTATATATGTATGCATGCATTTATTTCGATGTAGGTAGGTAAATACTGTATATTTTTTTATTTGCTTTATTTCCATTATTAATAATATAATAAGTGCTGGTTGACCCGAACCGGTTTATATGCATTTTGGCAAAACTTAATTTCAGTACATACAAATATATAGTATTATAGTATTTACATATGTATGTACATATTTGTATGTATTTTTGTATACCATACAAAGATATTAAAATAGTATGTTTAGTATTTATTTACAAACAAATATAGAGCATAACAGCATAACGTTCGAATTTTTTTTTTTCGCAATTGCCATCAAAATTTTCTTTCAATTATTGGAATATTTTCCAGACAAACAAAGCAAGTATACTTTTTTTCCAACCCTTAGTGTTGTGAAAAGGTTTTCAAAGAAAGCACTTAAAAAATTAAAAAAAAAGTCCATCAGTCATTCGAAAACGCTTTATGTGTACAAAAATTATAAAATTCACATCAAATTTTTATGTAAAATATATTTTTGCATATTTTAATGTATTTCATGTAACTTTTTCAATTTTATTTAATTTTAATTAATTTTGTTTAATTCAATTTACTTTAATTCTATATATAAAATTAAAAAGAAATTAATTAAAATTAATTCAGTTGTGATAAGAATGAACACAAAAAGTATGAAAAAAACACATAAAAAACATTTAATCTTTGAATGCTCCGCTTTTACTCACTTCATAAGCTGTTGCCCAACTTTATTGCCTAATTTCAACAATTATTGTATTAACATAATTTAGCGAGAAAAAGAGACAGACAGAGAGAGCGAGTGTGTGCATGAACTTTAATTAATATTTAAACTTTGAAAATATTATTGTTAAAAAATGGATCATCATCTTATGCTTATTTAATTTTTGCTTCATTTCTATTAATGCATACACTTGTCATGTATTTATACATGTAAATACATATACATATGTAGATATATTCATACAAACTAAGAAATTCGTACATATAAAAATAAATATTTCTAAAAATACAGCCGCTAAATAGTTTTTCAGAACACACTCAATTCAATTCAGAATAGAAATCTTTGTTTTTCATTTAATTAGTCTTGCAACTGAATGTAAGTATGTATGTATGTATGTAGTATATAGACGTCTAATATTCAAGTCGATCATTGTTAATACACGTTTGAGATGCTGAGCTGTTAGTCGGCTAAACTGATTTTATAAATTCAAAACAAAAAAGCGCTGCATCAACCACCAATTTAAATTATATTTAAAATTTAAATACATATTGTACATACATACATATGTATGTAGGTTACATTTAAGTGGCGAAATTATTTATGTAGGTATTTTTGCAGCAAAATTCGAAACACTTTTTCATTGCAGTTATTCTTTTTAACAAATATTCAGCTACTCGTCACCAGTGAAATGCAAAAAATAAGCTCCCTCACTCGCGTTCACGCTATGCGCCCTACCACCCACTCACCTACTCCCTACTCACCCAATATTTCGTGCACACATTCGCCAACCGTTACGCCACAAAACTACATTGTACACTTTCTTGCACACGACGAGTACATCACCACTACTACTACTACTACTACTCACCTCGCTGACTTTCCTTTTGCACAACGAAGAAAACTCATGCTGAGAGTTGCATTCAGCAACAACAACAATTCAGACACTTTTTGGTGAGCGAATTTTTTTTTTTAGTAGCTCTTTGTGACTAGCGCGCACCAGTGTGCTTACCAACTAACTATCAGGAGATTAGAACGTGTACATATTTACATACATATGTACATGTATGAATTTTATAGTGCCCGCTGGCTACACCAATGCCACCACCACCTTACACTGCCGATAACAACGTTGATGACGACGATGACGTTGTTTGTTGGTTGGACCTGCCTGATTGCTTGCTTGCTACTAAGTTCGTTCGTTCGTTCTTTTGTTTTTGTTTTTGTATCTTTTCAATCGGCAAGTTGAAATTGTTGGCGAACGAATTGTTTGGCTGTTAACAGGCGCACAGCGACAAGTAACGAGTAACTAAATAGCTGCCAACTGTTGTATAGAAGACAACGAATTGTGCGACGAACAAACAAACTTGTTCGTACGAGAATATATATTTCAATCGTATGACAGCAGGGTTGGCGCACGAAATAAATTGCAGCTGGTCGGTTGGGTGTGATAAATATACTACAATAAGTGAGGAACAAATGCGTGCGGGCGGGGTCGAAAAAGAGAAGTTGACTAAATAAAATGTAATGCAAAATTAAGAGATAC